CTCTAGTCACCATGAGGTTGATATTAAAATTCTTTAGGACAATATCTCAACAACTTTTTGATGAATTTCCATGAAATTTGGTAACACATTCATTTCCCCCTTCAGAATGAATGAAGAACTTTTCCTCCAGTGTCATCATCAGGTTAAATTTAAAAAAATGTATCCAATCCTTTAATTCTGGATGAAGACTGACATTCTTGTTATCTGTAGACCTACTTTGTGTTTAATCCTAATTAGCTAATTTTAGCGTACTGACACGTGGAACTAAAATGGTGAACATGGTAAACATTATACCTGCTAAACATCTGCATGTTAGCACAGTCATTCATTTTAGCATGCTGACATTAGCAGCTGTGCCTAAAGCCTCAGGAAGCAGCTAGCATGGCTATTGACTCTTCAGCTGTGTCCCAATTCCATACTTCATATGTATACAGTATATACGGTATATAAATCTTTATAGTGTAGTGTTTCTGCAGTTAGTATAAAGGAAATAAATATAGCAAACCTTAACTAGGTTTCACTCATTTTGAGTTGAAATTGCCCACCCTCCAAAGGGCCCTGACTGACATGCAAGAATTGAATAATTCACCCACTTTTAGGCCTACTTATTTCACTCAATGTGTAGAGACATGGACACAGGAAGAAGGGGTGCTACAAACCCCCTCAGCACCCCTAAAACCAGGAATTAAAAAAAACATCAATTAATAATCAAATAGAGAGGGAGAGAGACAGAAACAGCTCATACGGGCGAGAGAGAGAGGGAGCATGCGATTATGGACAGAAGTGTGGACGTGATATAAAAAACGTTTTTGATTATGAAGTCTAATGTTACTCTACAGCTCTGTGGTATGAGTGAAGTGTCTGAACTCCACTGCAGACTGGACTCTCTGTTAACAGTAACGGACAGACAGACAGATATATAGATAGATCCTTGTTATACGTTGTCTCCTCTGTGAAACATCTGTATCCTCACTGCGCTGCATTATTATGAACTATGATGGACTGGTCGTGGGTCACATCTCTCTCTTGTACAGGCGCTGTCTCTCCCTCTTTATCCACTTCAGTTCTCATGCATTAGTTCCTGTTGTTGACTGCCAGTGTCCCTGTGTAGGGGAGACTGTCTTTACCAGTCCAGGACAAAAACACTGTAGTATTACTATAATGAATTCCTATAGAAATACCTCAAAAATAGTCAGGATTACTGTAGTAACTATATCTTTTTGGAATGCACAATAGAAAATCACTATATAAATAGCATAGATTTGCCTATAGTGATCTTATAGTTAAGATATAATTGTACTATTGTGTATATACAATATAGTATTACTATAGGAATATAATATACTATAGTGTGTGTTTAATAACAACTACAAAATACTATATAATATAATATACTACACTATACGATACATGGTATTACTATTGGGCTACTATACCTAATAAAATAGCACTACAAAAAAACTAGTAATGCCATAGCTTTTGAAAAATCCACTAATAAAAAGTTTAATACTAACAGGAAATGCAAAATTTTCCAGTGTGAACACTTGGAAGTTAGTATTCCGTATGGATTTGGGACAGAGAGTATGTCTTGTTTTTCCATGCCCAATGAAGCCCTTAGATAATTTGTTAGATGGTAGTTTAAACAAATATCAAATTTCTTTCTCAGCTGTTTTTGCTGTAATTGTGTTTCAAATGTATCAGTCACACATAACTTTAATGTACTGTATGTTGTATTTATCCAGCTCTTTCCATATCCATTAATTACATCTATTTAAGTCACACTAAGCTTCAGTTTTCCTATTTGCAGCAGCTCCGTCCTCTGTTCCCTTCATCATTTTTTGCTTTAGTTTCCATTTTTATCCATACTTTTGAATTCCTCTTCCATCTCTGCTTAATGGCCCCTATTTAGTTTGTGCTCCAGTGAAGTCAGGCTGCTGCTGCTGCTGCTGCTGCTGCTGCTGCTGCTTTAGAGAAGAGTATTCTTGGGCGGAATGAGTTACATTATGCCTCCTATCCATTATTGATCCATGATTAACTAGAGTTCAACTGGGTTCTTCTCTGCAGGGGGGGTCATGTTCCTTTCAAATATGAATTGTGGAAAACTGTCGTCCCCAATATTTTTAATGACCAGTCGTCAAATGCCAAAAGCTAAAATAAAGCAAATTTTCTCCCCTCAGTATTCAGTGTTAAAACAAATCCAAAACACAGTGGCTGTTCACTGAACTCCTCCCGCACTGCAAAGTTTTTGGGTCTTTATCCTTTATGCACAGATCTCCGATACACAAGTTGATTACTCACAGGTCTACTAGACAGGTGAAACACAGTCTATTTAAATCACAGCACCACTGATGCACATGATAAATATAAACCAATGTGTTATCAGTGTTGTTAATGAACACATCTGAGGATGTGGCTCTGTCACAGCTTTGCAATATGAGACAGTACATTATTAAAATGTCCTTGCTTTTATAATAACAACCATTTACTAGAAAGCAGCAGCGCAATGTTAACTTTCACAGTGCTTTTGGTAGTGAGGGTGAAATGACTGCAGGGGTGGTACTGATGATAACACAGGCTGGGGGTAAGAGAAGCCGGTTAGCTAACCCCCTCCCCTCTCAACAGCCATCTGTATCACTCAGGGAAAGCCTCCTCGAGACAGCTCTGCAGACCCGTTGATCCTGATGCATTTTGATACTGATGGTGCACACAACTGACCTTTGGGCTGTCGAGTGCACTCAAACAACACTTGCTGCATGTGTTTATGTCCCAGAGACAGCCTAATGAGGTTGTATCTGCAGCCAGCCAACTCCAGGAGCAAATGCCAGGATGCAGCTGCTGCCACCAAGGCTCATATTGGGTAACATTGTCAGCGGTAGTGCTCCTATGTCACTGTTAGGAAAAATCTTCCCCAGAGAAACTCAAGACATATTTTTGGCTGTCTCGCGGTTTGTTCAGTCAGATAAAGTTGCTATTTGCACATTTAAACACACCTGAATATATTGTGCACTCATCTCAAACCATATTTGTGTGATATCTTACATATCTATGCTATGCACAGGCAGATACTAATTCTCTCAGTGTCTCAGTGTTTTGGGTTAGGCAACCAGAAGAAGTTTGCAGGATGTTGATAGGTTGATCACGGTTAAACCAAAAATAAAACCGTAATGCACAGTGGCCTACAAGCTCACTCGTTTGGAATTGAACCTGGTTTGCAAGAATACAAATAAAGTTTCTATATCCTACCCACCTCAACATCTATAGTATCACTTTACACCTCATAAACAAACTACCCCCTGTTTCACTGGTTGGTTTCAGAGCAGGTTCGATCTTTGCAATTTACTCCAAGTTTTCATACAGCATGATTTCTGCTGGGAGGAAAGACAGATTTGACAAATGTGACTGTCTCTAACAATTGTTTTTTATTATCAATTAATCTGCTGACTATAGTTTTTGATCCTCATATTGGATATATAGAGCGAGATAGTCTTTGGAGTTTTTTTTTTTTAAATTAATGCAATTATTAATACATTATCAACTAGTGTTGGTAATTAAGTCAACTAATCGATTAACTGAACAAGTGTTTCAGCTCTAGAGCAGACCATCCTCATCATAGGCAGATAGTGACGCAGATTCAGTCTCAGATAATGCCTGTGATGTAATCTCTGTGTTAGAGCTGATATAACATGACTGGTAAGGATAAAGAATGGAACAAGCAGCTTTTAAAAAACAAATACAAAAATCCAAACAAACTGCATATTTTCCCTAAAAAACAACCTGAATAAAGGTAGGCCAAAATATTCCAGTGTGTATACAATTTCTGATTTTTTTTCAGCCTAGGGTCCACATATAGTCTAACCCTGAAGGACGAGAACGCATAAGCACAGGAGACTGTGGAGCTCTTTTATTTCCTCTCATGGTTGAGACTGTGTGGATGTTCGTTGTGTTGAAAGAACTGAGAGCAGCTTTGGAGTCAGTGTGAAATCTCAGCACCACACTCCACTTTATCTGCCCAGCCCGTTCTCGAGGGAGGGGGTCGCATCATTAAATATTAACATGGCACTCACAGGACATCACCTTAGGAGAGGTTTACCTGGCCAACACCTGTCCAATCTTTGTTTTCCATCAGATTGCACTTGACATATCTGAGGTTCAGGAGAGTCTTTGTCCTTGGGGGTCTCCAACCTTGGCATGAAGGACAGATGTAAACTCCAGTGTTTTTGGGCAAAAATCAACTACACAGTTAGATGCGATTTGTAGGCTACCTGTTCAGTTATATTTGAAAGGTTTTTTTTGCTATTCATTTAAGGGTGGTGACTGGCAGTTTTGCTTCCTCAACCAAAGACTCTTTGAATCTCACTTTTATACTGCAGAAAACTGATGAATCTGTGTTTGCCTTCCATGTTCAGTGACTGCCCTTTTGCAATGATTGAGGACATATTCACTCTCTAGGGGAGAGGCAGTGGTTTGTGTTAAAAGAATAGCGCTCATTTGCCAGTTTTTCACCACCAAAATGTCAGCTGAATGTGTTTTCACATGTTAAATGCGCTGCTGTGATTAGGTGACAAATGATGGGTGGGACACCCAGTTAGAAGTGCAACAAAGAGACACAAAAACTGAAACCTCATTATTCTGTAAGAGTGACATGTTTGGGATTTAGTTGGGTCACTTTTTCTCACATTCTGTATGTCCACGGATTACCATTATGGCTAGATTCCCAATTATTCTCCATGCTGGCAGGTGTGAGAAATCTGTGGAATGTAACCAGTTCTAGCTCAATTTTGTAAAACCATTACTCTGATGCAAGGTTTCGATTTTCAAGGTCAATATATAGAAACTCTGTAATTATCTCATTAGTGAGACTTTCAGTTTGCCAATTAGCATTCAACCTTGAAGTGTCATACACAGACAAAAGTCACCATCTGTCAGCACAATGCAGGGCAGCCCTCTGTGATGATGATGATGTGCTCACAGCTCTCTAACTGTGTTTGTTTTGGCTGCAGGAACTTCTACTACATCACCATGCTGCGTGACCCAGTCTCCCGCTACCTGAGTGAGTGGAAGCACGTCCAGCGCGGAGCCACATGGAAGACCGCCCTCCATATGTGTGATGGACGCTCGCCCACCCAGGACGAGCTGCCCACCTGCTACAGCGGGGATGACTGGTCTGGTGTCACCCTGACAGAGTTCATGAACTGCCCGTCCAACCTGGCCAACAACCGGCAGGTCCGCATGCTGGCTGACCTGAACCTGGTGGGCTGCTACAACCTGTCCTCTATGAACGAGAGCCAGCGTAACCACATCCTTTTGAGCAGCGCCATGACCAACCTGAAGAACATGGCTTTCTTCGGCCTGACTGAGTTTCAACGCAAGACGCAATACATGTTTGAGCGGACGTTCAGCCTGCGCTTTATCTCCGCTTTCACGCAAATCAATAGCACACGAGCCGCCAACGTGGACCTGAGCGAGCCCGTGCGCAGACGCATCGAGGAGCTTAACTTCTTGGACATGCAGTTGTACGAGTATGCGAAGGACCTGTTCCTCCAGCGTTTCCAGTTCACCCGCCAGAGGGAGCACCAGGAGGTGCGCTTGAAGAGACGTGAGGAGAGGCGCTGGCTGAGGGAGCAAAAAGAGCAGGGCAGGCCGTGGCCGCCCAAACACAGAGGGGGCGGAAATAGAGTTGGGAGAAGAGGAGAGGGGTTGGAGAAAGGGACTGACGGTGACTTCCCCACCACCACTGAGGACTACACAAGCCAAGTGGCCCGTTGGTGAGGTTTTGGTTTCAAGAGAGAGGAGCAAGAGAGATTCCTCACAGACTAGTTCAAACATTTCCTTTGACTCGCTCTCTTGCGCATCCTATGTCTCTCTCTTTTTGTCTCACCATTGATCTGTCTCCTGCATCTGTCTGTTTCTCAGCTTCAGTGTGATCCAAGTGCTTTGCTGTTCCTTTATGAAAACTGCCAAGTCTGTGAGTCTCACAGCAGCTCTGCCTTGGAGTGCCCTTTGGTGTCTTAAATCTTTAAATGCTCTTTATATATATTTTTTGTCATTCAATTTTGTTGTGTTGAATAAGATAGTAAACTGAGGTGAAAGAAAAAAAAAACAATCAAAAGAAGCGACCATAGACTGTATTGCTTTTAATTTTGACATTCACAGCAAAACTGATGAATGTCGTGGTCCTTGTTGCAACTAGAAAACATATTCCATTTGAAAGATGTAGTTGTAGAAGTACTAATGGTTGCATGTCACACGTCCACAAATATACTGACAATTGGGGAGAGCAATATCCAAAAGATATACAGTAATAATAACAGTAGTATATACTGTGAGCCAAAGGTAACAAAAAACACAATGTATTTATTGTATTTTTTTTTAAAGACCATGTTGTATGCATGCAGTACCTATGTTTTAAACCAAATTAAAGGCTATATCTAATGCTTATATTTTGGTTACAGTCCAGTATATATCAATTTTTCAAGTGCAAAACCTTGTAGACTTCAACACGTCTTCCAAAGATAAAATACCATACACACAAAGCCAATCACACAGTCACACAGAAGGCATCCTGCTGATCAAAATAACTTCAGTCTGTCCCCATATTTCGCCCAATGTAAGCTGGGATTGGCTCCAGCCCCCCGCGACCCTGCACATAGGATGAGCGGTTGACGATGGATGGATGGATGGATGGATGGATGTCCCCATACTTTTGGTAGAATATTGTGTTTTTACATGAGAACTGCGAACGAGTACTCTGTGATGAGAAAAGCAGATTTTGTGAGTAACTCCTTTTTGAAGTAGTGGCCTGCAGAGAGAAAAAAGTTGGTAAATAGTTCAGGTGATGAAATGTGTCAGCGTGGCATGGTGTGTGGCTCGACTGTGAATGAGATGATCAGCATTCAGTTCCCATGCCCCTCCCCGTCACACTGGCTGCTTTTACATGTTTGTAGAGCTGACGGCTACTGCACCGTGGGCGGCGAGAGGGCTCTAACGCCAGCAGAGTGCCACCCTACAAAGACCAGCCTCAAAGCAGATAGTCGAGAAATAAAAACATGTCATTTTTTCTGCCCAATAGCTTCCAGTCCCAGCGCGGCAAACACACTAAGATGAAAGAGGGCTTGTCTTTATATGGTTAAATAGGCTTCATTGATGCTTTTTATGCCTCTTATCTCATATTCACTCACCATCCCTGCATATCAAATTAAATGTTCACTAAATGTCAATACTGAAGTGGTATGGCTGCTGCTATTTCTCATGTTTCTTCTGATTGCAGTTACTTGTAAAATACCTCAAACGGCACACTTTTGTTTCATTTTAAAGAATCACCTGTGTTTTGTCTTGTCTTTTTTGAGTGATTCATCCAGCTGATCCAGTGAATGTGTTGAATGAATACCAGTTCAGTTGTTTGAGCTGTTAGGAGTTGTACAGGTGCCATTGTCTGTATGGATGCACTTATATAGTGCATAGATTGATGAAAAAGAACAAAGACTAAGTGTGTAGCACATTGAAAACACTCGTTTAAGTGTTTCAAGTGGAGTTACAGCTCTGAATATTGAATCATTCGGTGTATAATTTATAATAGAATTCATGTAGTTATGCCATTCATGGTGCAGCAGTGAAAATAGCATGGTGACAATGTTATGTGAATGTCAAATGATTGATAAAGGGTCATTTATACTTGCCATTTTCACTCAAGAAGCAGTATGGGGAACTTTTACAATAAATTTTTGTCTCCACTTTATACATTTCAGGAACTTTAAACTCCACTACTTTTATTTGACCGCTGTAGTTGGTAGAGTTGCATACTTTTCATTCACCATGAAAATATTGCTTATATTTTGACATATTGGACAATAATCTAACTATTTAAAATACTTTATAGTTAACAAAATGTATTTGAAGGCTTAAAGTAAAAGTTGTCGTACACTAATATGTTCCCCATAACTGATATATAATTATATATCAAATGGTAACATTGTTGTTTAATATTGTACATGGTCCCTTACAAATAAAATTGTTAAAATAAAATAAAATTGTTAGATTGTTAATACTGATGTTTTAACTACTTCCTAAAATGTAGGAGTCATGCTCCCTCCAAAGGGTCACAGGATCATTGTGGTGGGTTATGAGATAATTAATGGCATAGGAAAAAAGAAAAAAAAATCTATTTTCATATTTCGGAGTTTTCTCTAATCTTTGGTTTTTGTGAAATATTGGATATTTTATCTATTCGAGCCTCAAATAATTATTTTAATAAAACCACAGACAAACATGACAAGGAGACCCAACACTATTTCTGAGGATGTGATCACAAGCCATAAACTTAGCATGTACTATTAATAAAACAATGTAACTAGTAACAATACCTGTCAAATACATTTAGTGGAGTGTAAAGTACAATTTATCCTCCTGAAATGTACTAAAGTAGGCTAGTAGTAAAGTAGTAAACTATAAAGTAGCATAAAATAGAAATACTCAAGAAAAGCATAAGCACCTCAAAATTTTCCTTAAAGGTACAATGGGTACAATATGGCCAGAATTTTTGTTTAAAATATTCAAATTATCAACGGAATGTGAAATGTCATATCAAAGTTGTCTTGTCTAATTGTGTTGCAGAGATATCTCCTGATATCCAGCTAGCTGCTTGACGTCTCTCCTGTCCCTGCCTGAACCCGCCCTGTCTTTGCCCTCCTGGTCGGAGTCGCTGTAAATCTCTTTGTTACTGTATTCCCTGTCGTCAAACTGGCCTCAGTCTGGACGCTGTTCGGTCCTGGTCTGGCTGTGATCAGTTTAGGGCTGCTGAGCCCGTTTCTGTTGCTCGCTTGCCTGGTTCTGGTGCTTATTCTGGACCGTTAGCTGCACGGCTAACAGAGCTAACTATCTAATGGCAGTTAGCAGTTATGACCTGATTGCTGCCCCCTATGAATTCGATAGGTGCAAAGTAGTCTCAATTCTTACACATTGTACCTTGAAGTACAGCACGTGAGTAAATCTACTTAATTAACTTCCACTAGTGGATTTGATTGACAGTGGCCTGACACTGTGATCTCACCAACTTTTGATTTTTTATATGGTCATTGCCAAAAGGACATTTATTCTGGAAATTTCTTTTAATAAAAACAACATGCTGCAGCACTGTGTGACAAGCTGTAGGAATTACAATGTTCCCCAGTGACAGATGGCATGAGCACCGCATGATTAGTAGAAGTGCCATATAGCTATTAATGAAAGGCTTCTTCTGGTGTTGTTAATGTGCAATATTCCCAAATTTATACACACACACACACACACATATATATATATATAAATATAAGTTTGCTGGCAGCTAAAAAGTTGACACTGAGCTGTATTGCTTGATGAACAACTGGGAGCTAAACTTCATTGCCAGTTTGACTATTTATGAAGGAGCAGTATGGAGTATGAAGAGTTGGAATAGTGTGAAAGGGATTAAGCGTGCAAAATATTGTGTAAGCAATGAAAGGTGTTGAAAAGAGAGTTTTAGTGTAAGGACTTAAATGAGCGTATGTGAACAGAGAAGAAGTTGAGGTGTCATTCAAGTGTCTTAGTTGGAATAAGGGTAAAACAGCTGAGGTCTAAGCCCTGTAAGCACTGCAATTAGCTGCCGTGTAGAAGAGTTGAGTGGCGTGTGTGTGTGTATTTTTGTTACCACTAAATTTTTGTGCTGCCTTACAGCCTGCTGTGAGATATAGTTTACAGACTGATCACTTACTAGAGAGGCAGTAGAAGGAGTTGAAATAATTATGTTCAAATGTTTATAATAAAGCTACTTTGGCACCACAGAGATCTGAGAACCGGTCTAATTAGCAAACCTCAATCAGCTGGTTGCCGCCACCTGCAATTAATATTTGCTGTGGTCATGGTAACTGCTGAGTAACTCTCGGATCAGACAGTTCATTTAGTTGATTGAGAAGCCCCAATCATATTCTGATTTATTAGTTAAAAGGCATCATTAGATTTTTACATTGTGAGAGAGAATGGACTCTGCTGAACATGTTGCTTTAAAATATGTGTATAGTGTCAAAAATGTGTGGAAAAAAGTCCCCTCTTCTGTTTTACTCCTGAAGTTTCTGGTCTCACTTAACATTGTAGTCAATTGGGCAGTTGGATGGCACTTTTAGGCTCATTGTGCAAAATGTGTATATCTGTTTGCTTAAATAATTACGCGAGGGCAAATTATTCTACGTTTTGTTGAATATTTAAGAAGAGTTTAACAGCTTAACCCTCTCTGCGTGTGATGTTACCCACTCTAACTCTGAACGTTCCCTCCACTCATTTGTATGGGGGGGGATCCCTAAAAAAACATAGTATTTTGGAGATTTTGAAGTCTGAATTATGTTTCAACATTGAATGGCGCTGAAGTACTGTACCAGCAATGCCAACAATTACATTAATTTGTCATAAAGCCATTGCCTTGACATGATCAATGTATACATAAAAAACTCACATTTAAAGGCTGAGATGTCATCACCTCATGAACAAATCTTTTACAGAGGTCGGGGTTTATTTCTTAGTCACAGTTGACAGTCTCTGTGTTATGATTTATCTGTACTATTTGTCTTCTGCTTATTCTCTTTTTGAACACAGAAAATATATGGGACAATTCAACTGCTGACAGGAGTTTACTATTCAAATTTAGGTTTATTTTTTATGTGGCTTCTTAACGTTTGTTTTCACCAAATTATGTCCTAAAACACTTCCCACCAATTTTGAAACTGGAAAAGTGAAAACTCTCAAACTACGGTGTAAATAAAACGATGAAAAAAGCCAACATGGATTTTCACTCTAAATTTTACTGCCATTCCCAGAAAAGTGTGACATGCCGCTTATAAGAATATTTTAATGAACTTGTACTGCCACTCCATGAAAACGCATATCTCTGAGAAGCTGATTTATATGTATTTGTTTATTTATATAATTTCAACTGTTGCTAAAGAATGGCTTTGCCTGATTGAAAATACCAGTGTTACCAACACCTCAGTGATAATGGAAGAGAGCTTTCTTAGTGTAAGAATTTCTATGTACATGTTAAAAGTCTTGTGATGAAACAGTCTAACAGCCATTTGGCATGTATATTTAATCTGCCATTTTTCTTGCCAGACCTGAAAAAAATTGTGAATTCTGCTTAAGATATCAGAAATAAATGCATTGAATGGCCATGACGTTATGAGTGTTGCTTTGATATTCTCATAGTCAGTACAGACGTACACACATACTGTACTACATATCCATATCTCCATCTGCTCAGGAGGTTGGAATCTATCACATCATATATACATTGCACTTGCACTAATTTCATTGCACAGGTTTTATGTACTGTATCAGTCACTATATACACAATTTAAAGTAAAGACCTAGTGGTATCTAATGGTGTTAATGTTTTTATATTCTAGGAATACATAAAAAAGATGAATATATAGAGAAATGTTCTTGCAGAACACTTGAAATAAAGTGTTTTGCAAGAACATTTCTCTTCCCAAAGACATGTTCAAAACTGACTCAAGAAAGCTGCTTTGTGAACAATCTCAAAAATGCACAAAGCAACTCAATGCTAGTACAAACTTACAAACTACATAGAAGGGAGTGTAATATTTACAGTTTTGTGATGCATACACAGACATTTCATCACAATTCGTTGATGATTTTGTTGACAAATTTAACATTTGTCCACCAACTGAAATAAAGAATGTAGAGAAGGATGCCAAGAAGGAATTATACAGAATGTACTGTGTGCTCAGACTCAGAAATAACTCCACACTGTTACAGAGTTCATATTCATTTCCTCTGATCTGAAGAAATAACAAGGTAAGCAGGTGTCTGGTGTTGTAAGGCCTAATTAAAAGACATCCAGTATTTTTCTTAGAATAATGGCTTGATATTTTCATTTATTTCAGTATATTTCAGCGCAAATAAGCAACTAGCAGACATTTACTCCTATGCCAGAACAGTTCTGTATCTGCAGATAATGTTATGACAAATTTACTGTAAATTAGCTAAATAAATGTTGAAATTTTAAAGTGGAGTATGTTTATTTAAATGTCACCCTTAAAAGCAGTGTGAAATGCAAAAGAAAAAATGATTATGTTGAGTTCATTTGGGGTCTTCCACACACACTTCACAAAAAGCTCTGTATCTACTGACATACAGAACCTTCTGCTTCCCCTCTGGGTGTACAGTATGTATGGCTAGCTCAGCATTTCAGCCACTGACTGCAGCAAGTCATTTCCACCCAGATGGTATGACTGTGTTATCCTCCACTATATGTTTAACTGTAGGAAGTGTGTAATGACTTTTAAAAAAGCACAGCATTGCTCAAAGACAGTGCTCTACTTTCTGAGCTTTTCTAGTCAGCACAAAATCTGACACTAAACGCTGGTACACAGAAGGAAAATAGGTCTTAAAACATTTGGAATGAACATCATTATCAGCAGATTACATAAAACTCTTTATCCAAATGGGGGGAAATTACACAAATTTGTTGTTTTTGCTGTTCAATAAAATAACAAAACAAAACAAGTAAAAAGAATCACTAGATCTAATCTACTTTAAAATTACGATCCCAATAATGTTTGCAAAAATTCTACCCCACAACAAACTTTCATAAAGATTGCTGAATACTTATATTTTTTATTTTTGTGAAGAAATTACGTTTTAACCAAAATAAAAGTATTTAGTTTGCTTTAAGTTCTATTATAGTTCATATTCACATTAATTTGGTCCTTCTGAACCAGGCTTAGCTGGCCTGGTGGAACTAGTTATTTGGCAGAGATGATAAGATCAGATAACAGTACAAGCGTGACTCTGAATACTGAAGTATATTGATCCTCATTTTAGCAGGTCATTATTTTACCCACACTGTACACCCCCTGGATGTAATACTGCTTGCATTACAAAATTAACGATCTAGTGTTGTGTTTACCATGTCCCTCAAGTTGAGCCTCCGGGTTTGTCAATTTGGAAAAATATAGTTTAGAGAAGACTGACATCTATAGGCCAAAAGATAAAATTGCTGCTTTTCTTGTCCCCCTTGCTGGTATCACGGGTGGCTATTTCCCATAAACACACAAGAACAGTTTTCCATATGAAATTTTTTCAACAGTATCAAATGGAATGAATGGGAGATGAAATGAGCCTGTCTCCGTTTTAAATAGGACATAAACATCAATTCTTCTTTGCCTCTTTTTAAATTTTTTTTTTTTTACCACTAGATGGGAGTGCTGCTCTCAACAATTAATTGTGCTGCAGGTTTACTGTGGATGTGTACTATGTATGTTCTTATAACCAAAATTAATAAAATACTCAAAAGCAAAAGACAATTTAAAAAGTGCATATCATGATTCCTGTTATTTTAAACTTTAAACTCGATATGAAAGGGAGGAAACCAGATTAACTTTGTTTTATTTGTAGTAAAAGAGCACTTTAATGACAATCTGTTTCACATTGGAGGATTTATTATAATTATTTTTTGTTCCTCTCAAAGCCTCAGTTTCCCATGAAAAACAATCTTTTTAGGAAAATACTTTTGATAACTGGCAGCGACTTTTCCAAGTAAGTACTATTTCAAGTAATTTAGGTCGACTGAGTGATGTAGCTACAGCTATTAATGTTGAAAGTGTCTCCTTGTTAACTGACAAGCCACAGTTTAGTTCAAGAGAAGATTTATGGAAAAGACCTTAAAATGTGACACCAAAGCCACACGGTGATGCAATTGCCAAGTAATATTAAATGGGGTGTAAATAATAAAACCAAACAGGGTTAAGGTCACATAAATGAAAGCATGGATTGCTGCAATCTCTCTGTTCTTATATCTGACTCACTCTGAAAGTGACATTTTCCTCAAAGGGAGCAATATGGTGACCTTTCCCTGTGGCACTTGATGCCACAGTCACAGTTGAGGAGATCTGTCAGCGTGACAGATCCGATAAATCTCGCCTGTTGTCTCAAGAAACCTGGAGAAACATAAAAGGACGGATCAATGAATTGGCAATAATGGCTTTGTGTGCGTGTGGGTGTTCTTCATAAGCACAAACGATAGCTAAATAATTTCATGACAAGTGATGGATAGGATAAATTTGTTACATTTGCCACTATTGGATGTGTTATTTCTTGTTTTATGCTCAATTGTGATTATATGCCAGCTGCTGAACACAAAAGTCACAACATTTTTAAATTACTAATTTAATTGTATTATTTATTTCTGTATTTTAAATTTCATTCAAAACACAGTCCTTTTTCCATGTTCTGATGTGTTCAGACAAATTCCATACCATTTTAAATCTACTGGAAACATCTTCCCAGAAGCCATTTGTTACAAAATGACTGACAAGAAGAAAAAATAGCCTACAGCTAGCCATAGGCCTACAACTGAGGCACAGGATATTTTATAACGTATAGCATAACCCAAAGAAGACAGAATGTCCCCATGTAAGTGGCACTGACAGAAAGTTGTTTTTTTTTTATCTTTATTGCAGAAGTAGACTGTTAAACATAAAATACCATAGCGAAATCGTCCTCCCTTCTCTGTCTCCCTCCCTCTCACCCTCCCTGACTGATCCTATCTGGGTTAGCATCCATCTCATTTGACCTTGAGCAGACCTTTGAGTCTGGGCTACTGTTTTGCTTCTTGTTACACAAGTCAAAGTCATCATAAATCTTTAAAAGTCTTCCATTATCATTATTTATTATAGCCTACTAATAGCTAAGCTACTCACAAATCTTTAGGTCACATTGACTATTTAATTATGCAAATTTTTGGGCAGACTGCACACTGTCTTTGTCAAATTTATTTTGATATACTTCGTTAATTAGATGTTTATATTTGTGCATGAAAGCGTGTTCTCATTAAACTAATCCAGAAAAACTCAAACTCAACAACAGTTTTATTGCTGTTACCTTGGTAACAAGCAAACCCTTGTCCTTTTAGCCTACTGGCATTCGTGTGGATCGTACCACGTTGTGGTCGTAGGGGGGATCTTAGGAGGTTTAAGTTTTATAATTACCTATTTTTGTGAAAATATGATTCGGTCAAATCAACTCAATTTATCTAATATTTTTATGTTTGCTATTTTTTTAATTTAAAACGTTCTATATTCAATGATCGATAGCCTTTAGCCGTCTCAGCGCACTCCAGGAACCCCTCTTATCACATTAAACTGACGATCGTACAGTTAGCTGTCAAAAGCTTGTTGCTTAAATCTGTGCAGTGCTATAAAGTAATGAAGGAATGAGGTCGGATGCATAGACGAAATAACACGCTATACTTTACGAACAGAGCAATAATTCAATGGGTTGTTGAGCGGACATTTCTGGAGCACTTGACATCCTGTTTTCGTTAGTTCAGTTGGACAGTCGTGTCGTCTGTTCTGGCTGGTGCGTGATCCTCTGGGAAGCGGTTCATCCGTGATGATGAGGTAAGCAGGTGCTCTCTTCGGCTAACAGTGCGGCTAACATAAGCTAATACATGTTAACGTTAGTGTTAATGTTCTTTATAATGTAGGTTACAGCTGCGTCTTTAGCTTGTTAGCTGACTATTTGTGATTAGCTAACGTTAGCTAAAGCAGCCTAGGATGAGAATGCAAATCAGAGACATAAACATGTTAGTTGCGTTTGAAGTGCCAAACTGTGCAAATAAGACAGTGTCAGACTGTGATTGTAGTGATGTTGTATTTTCTGCTGTTTGTTAGCTGCGTTTTGAAGTTGAGAAACATGACTGTACGTACTGTAACGTTGTATGGGCGGGTCATGTATTATCCGACAGGCGAAATGAACTCCCCCTTCAATGAAATATGGACTTCAACCCTTCATAGACTATCTAAACTATTTTCTAACAGCTTTAAACAGAGTTACAATCGCACAAGATACTTTAAACCTCCAATTAGCATCACCATATGGGTGTAACTACTGTAACAATACTGAATGCGACAGCATGTGTCAGAAATACACTGAAATAACGTTAAGCATTTACCTACTGTTGAAACTTGAAAATGTTTTTTTAGCAAGAATACTTCAGATGTCCTAAATCACTGTCGTGATTTACAACACAAAGTAAGCTGTGCTGTGTGATGTAAACACCAATGATAAAAATGTGTAATGATTTAAGTGGCATAGTTTTAAATTTAAGTGCTCTGCTAGTACTGCAATATAATTCTGTATTATAAACATTGTTATTACACCTGTGATCAATATTGAGTCTATGGTCTGTCCATCTTGGGAGATCTCAGGCTGAATTTCACATGAAATCCCTTTTTGAGTGAGACATTATATATCAGAAGCAGCATGCCAGGGACGTAAATGAATTATTTATGCTTTTTTTTTTTGGCATAACATTGAATTAACACTGAATTATTAGGGTTTTTTGCAATTTTTGTCATGATGGTGCTACACAAAGAATATTAACTTACTATATTCTGTATGGTGGGTAAGTAAAATTGCCTGAAAAATTACATTTAACACTTGTTTTGTTGCACACATTTTAGAAGTGAACTCATGGTGCAGTGAATATGATGGTACAGGACTATTTCTATATTAAGTATTAAGTAACCAAACCAAGTTCAAGACCTAGCTAATTAAGGTTTAATAAATTGTTATTACACAAAATTGCAATAGAAGACTGTTGGACTGTGACGTACCTGCAAATAATGCAAAAAGGAGCTTATGGCATTGGCCTACATTTACAGTAACTATACCGTTTTACTTGCAAGCCACTGTGTAAAGGTTTGTACAGTGTTAGTAGGTATATCATTTCTTAATTCTGTACTTGCCCATCATTGTAGTAATAAATTCTGGAGGCAAGATCAAGTATAATAAAATATAATTCATAGATAAAGGGTGAACTGCGGCCAGTGCCTTGCTCCAAGCTATGCAGCCAGCTTTCACACAGTGCATCAGCCTCTGGTTTTCTATTGGCCAATTTCTGACTGGGAGGGTCTTCCCAGAGGCTGGCTCTCAGGCAGGAAGGGGGTGGCTGGAAATGTTTCAGCCAGAGTTGGACAGACAGTCTGTTTTCACTGAGAAAATCTTTGGTCACTGAAACCGTGGGACAGAGAAGGGAGATAAAAGCTGTTATTGTGGTCATTACCTTACAAGTTAGGTACTCAAAAGTTGTATCTTTAACCTAGATTCGTCGTGGAGGGGAAGAAGTTCTTTAGTGCTGCATGAAGAGAGAGAGGTAGGTTTTTTTGCACCGTTTCCTGACTTGCGCCCAAAGGAATTTGCTGCAGTATGCGGTGGGATAGCATGCAGTAAAGCTGAGAGGCTGTTACAGATCTGGGTTAACAGGAGCAGAGTTTATTATGAATGTGTGCCTTTTTGTACATTTGTAGACCATGTTATTTCCAATTAGTGGAAAAATCTTTCCACTCTAATACAAATGTATTCAGCTCATGAGTTAACCTTTTCTGACTGCTCAGCAACTTCCTGTGTGTTTTACCACTTAGTGTACTGGTCTGAGTATCCTGTCCTGTGTGTGACACCCAACATGATGTGTGTTTAAGCTTTGTCTTTCTTTCCTTGCATTGTATATGTGGGCCAAAGCACATACACTGTATTTGACTGACTAGAAAATTTGAGTCACTGTATTTGAATGTAGCAATTTGGCACCAAGTGCTTGTGTCGCCCTACAGTATTAGCAGACAGAGAGTAACAGTGTAATGGAAAACAGGTTATAGAGAGCATAGAGAAAGCACAGAATTGATTACAGTGAAATCTGTGATTATTAAGATTAAATCTCGTTTTAATTGGCAGCCTGTTTTAGTCGATACTCATGTATGATAATCAGTAAAATCTTTTTCAAATGTAGCATAACACACATCTTATAATTCTATGGATTTGAGCTTCGGAAAAGTTCATATACTGTTATTGATAGATTGATTACGTGACACTAGCCAGCTACATAGCCCAGACTAGCAAAAAAACTGTGGCCCTGTGCTTGTCACATGCTTACATTGTTATTGAAGATGCATCAGCCAGAGAAATCAATTGTAAAATGTGAAGACATAATTACATGTACAACAGCCATCACAACTTTTATGAAGTTTTGAATGGTCTGTATGCGCTACTAACTAGCTAACATTAGAAACGTTAGGCTGGAAAAGCATAGATGTTTGCCTTGAGATGTGAGTGCAGACTCGGCAGAGGGCAGAAAAAACATGATGAGGAAATGGTTCAGTTTACCAACCAGGAAATATGACTTCCACCGTACATAAAATGTTTTATGGATCTCGTCATCTGATCAAAGCACTACATATTAATAAATGCTGTGGATGAGAAAAAAATATCTGGTGGAAGGTAAACTGACTTTGCATCTGTATGTTTAGGGTTTCTTTAATGAGAAATATGAGTTTATCAGGCTGTATGATCACTGCTCTGCTAATCCATGTAAGTATTTTGTGGAGTAGGTTAGCATTTCAATGTGTGATTCAGTATCAGCTGCTAATTCATGCTTAATAGGGGAGACACTTGGTTTGCTATCATATTTTTTTCATATACTACAAGGGTGGGGGGACTACGACACACAGTGGCCTCACTCATTGAATTAATCTGCCAGTTATTTTCTTTATTAAGCGATTCATTGCTTAGTCTACAAAATGTCCATCACAGATTTCCAGAGTCCAAGCTGACGTCTACACATGTTTCGTTTGGCGCAACCAACAGTCCAACACCCAGAGAGATTCTTGAAAAGAGTGAAAAGCTGGAACCAGAGAACCACTGGAGTTTTTTCTTTAAAAAATGACTTGAAATTATTAGGCTCTTTAGAATCTGACATGACTAAATATAACTGGACTAATTACAAAAGATCACATTTGTTATTGTTTGACCTAATCAGATTTCTGCTGTAAACTGCTAAAGAACAGATGACTCCAGAGAATGAGCGGTCTCTAGAGAGGAGAAGAAATTACATGAGATGCAGTGTATTCAAAAATAACTTATGGTAGCTCGAAATGTGCCAGCAATAGATGAATTGCACCGTAATGATAATGTTGTTTATTTGGATACAATTTCAGTAATATGCATGTTTTTTGTCTTTCAGATCACCAACAGAAAGTGCCTTTGAGAAGATATCCCCGACTTGAAGTTGGTCCGAGTACATTGCCGGTCTCGGCTTTCTTTGAGGCCAGACTCAAGCACCAACACGTGATACCTCATCTGCGAGTCCTTTGCCATCACTTTGCACAACATCAGCACCTAAAAAATTCTAAAATAGAGCCATAATATAAGAGGACAGAGAATAACGAACTGAGAATGTATGACTAAAGTGACAAATCTGCATTGAATTTTCCTCACTTGAATGTGAATGTTTATGGGTACCGTCATTTGTGGAAAATACAGTAGAACGTGTCACAGAAAAAAATAAACATTTGCAGTTGTTTCTTTTTGATAGGTTATTTTACAGCCAGATTGACAAGTTAGTTTATCTTCCTGCTCCAGCCGATGGAGGACTCACCAGGTTGTTTTAAAAGAGGACTTTTTAAATAGAGCCAACCTGCAGCTTTTGGTGTATGAGGCACTTGACTATTACGTAGACATTTTAAAAACTAAATTTATGATCACAACCTTTGGAGATGGCGTTGAACCTTTCTTCAGTAAGAGACACCAAATGGCTAACTCTGGAAGTCTGTCGGCAGTTTCAGCGAGGAAACTGTTCAAGAAGTGATGAAGAATGCAAATTTGCTCATCCACCTAAGAGCTGCCAAGTGGAAAATGGGAGAGTTATTGCCTGTTTTGACTCACTGAAGGTAAGAAATATTGCATACATGGTATTATGCTATTAACTTTAATAATCTCATAAAACAAATGTTTTGTTATGTCACTGAGTGAATGGCATCACTATTCTATTCTGCCAAATCAAACACATTTGTACATTGCTCTTTTCGAAAAGTTTTTTTTTAAATTTAAAAAAACTCTCATCACTTGTCTAATGTAGACTAACATATTTCTGGCAGCCAGTTGGATTATAACCAGTTATTTTCATGTTTGCTCATTTGCCCTGAATGAGACCAGGGCTACCTTAATCCACTCTCACACATTCACTATCACAACACAATACAGCTTTGCCCCCAGGATTATTCTCATGTTGAGTCATCGTCTTATCTCCTCACTGTAGGTCGTTTATAAACAGCTTGTCTGGACAGGGAGAGGGCCTCCTCTGAGCCCCAGTGAAGGGCCTGGGCTAAAGGCTTTCACACAAAGATTCAAGATTCAATACTTCATTGATTGCTGTAAAGCACTTTGTTACCTGTATCGAAAAGTGCTGTATAAATCAAGCTATTATTATTATTTCCAGTTCAACATAGTTGATAGGGATTTGGTTTGGTCAGCCCACACAAAACAAAACAAAAACAAGGCAGAACACCTCGCATACAGCGACCACCTTAGGACATAAGAGTAAATAAGTAAGTAATAATAACAAATAATTAAAATTAAAACAAGCATTCCCATGGGGATGCTATCACCAGCTATGATGTATACCACTGAAGAATAACAACACATTAATCATTTAGAAGTTGAGGGCTTGAACAGCCTTTGGGTAGGTGCTGTTGCAGAACCTGGCTGTCCTGGTTCAGGACCAGCAGTTGAGAAGAATATTGTGTCCCTTTTCTGTAGTCTAAAGGTGTGGATTTCATCAAGGAACAGTAGCTCCTGGCCCATGATTTTTGATGCAGTTGGCACCATTTTGTCCAGCCTTTTCCTGTCTTGTTCCCATAACCCTTTTGGTAACTTTTTTCAGCTGTCTTAAAAAGAAAGGTCTTTGCTGAGCTTTAGTCAGTACTGTTCTTGAGTGTTGACTTCCCCACTTTAAAGAAGAGGCAATTATTACACCCAAAAATTTGTAGTGCTCCACCTGTTGAGTTTCCTGGCTACCAAAGTACCTTATTCCTTTATCTAAAAACAACATTTAGTGATTCAAACAGTGCCGCCATTCGATAGTTTGTCCACCGTTAGAGTAGTGACCACTCTTGGTTGTAATTGTTAAAAAAAGGGAACCCTGTTAAAAATGTAAATATCTAGCCTAATTGTATCTTATTTAAGAATGCAGGCATTAAGTATTAGCATAGATTTGCAGCCTGTTGCAAGGATGGAAAGAAGAGGTCAGCTAGTAGATCTACAGCCATTGCAGTCATGTGACTATGTCAAAGCTCTTCATTCTGAATAGGCTTTTGTCTGATGTTTTGTTACCGACATGGCTACTGGTATAATGTCAACAGGTACTAACTCAGTAGCTGTTACTCAACCTTTATTTATTAAAAGACAAATAGCTAGCTAGCTGCCCAAATTTTGGCTTGTTCACTGGTGGCATTTAATTGGCATGTGATTTCAGGCTTGTGAACAAAAAGTACAGATCAGAACATTTGCTGTGTCCACCAATTCATTAACTACTGCTAACAGAGTTAACTTCATTATACCAAAGAATGTGCATATGCTTTGGTATTGTAACTAGAATTGCATGACTTCCATTAAAATAGCTGAGAGTCTTGTTGGCACGCAAATCTAACTTGAGCTGTTTCCTGTGGCTTGCTCTCGCGACTGTGTTATGCCTCTCAGACAGGAAAGCAAGTGAGCATACCCGTTCATCAATTCAGTCTACTGTTTCATACAGATCAGCAATAAACTTCTGTCTTTATAATTCTTTTGAGTCATGTATATCTTGGGAGTGGGGCAGGCAATGGCAACCAGCCCTCACAAATATGTCCTCTTAAAACTAGAAAGAATCTAAATACAGTCAAGACATAGTAGTCAATGGGCAACAGCTACCTTGTCTCTGGGTTTGACTTATAGCTCTGACACTTGTAATGTGTAAGGCATATTTCGTTTCATACTTTTAAGCAACTATAACTTAGAAAGATGTACAAAGTTGTATAACAATAAAACATTAAGCATTTCAGGGGGTACTTTCCACTGACGTTGTACAGACTAATGAAACACTGATGACAGTTAAACCTATATGGATTTTCACTGAAAATAATTAATATAAATCTCTTGGGAGCAATGCAAATGAGGGGAAATTAGTTAACTTGATTGAAGGATTTGAATATGTAGAGCAGAGGGAGCTCATCTCTCATTAGGCTAATAAAGATGCTTGATGGGCAGAAATTGTGTTGGTAGGCTCATTTTGAAGTCTTAAAGGAGATAGTAATACTCAAGCTTAATAACCAGGCTGCTGGAATTTAAAGCAAATCACCACTGGATTCCAATAGCTTGCAAGCTAAGGGATTTCTTACATTACCAGTCTTCTTTTTTAGCTGCAGTACAGTAAAACACTGAATGGATATTTGAATGATCTTCATCTAAATCATGTTTCGTACACAGGGTTCCTTAAAAAGTCTTAAAAGGTCTTAAATTGAAATCAGGGAAATTAAGGTCTTAAATTGTCTTAAATTTACTGAAAATTTGCTGTAGGTATTAAATTAGCCAATGGTGCTTTTAAGGCTGGTGGGGAAACTGTCATATTATCGTCAGTCGTGGCTGCAAGATTGGGAGACGCAAGTTAAAGTGGTTGGAGGAAGATCTGACCGTTCTGTCTAGTTCAAACAGCTGTAGCCTACATCACGTCCTCCTCTCATTTGCGCAGGTCCAAAAAATTATCTATAACTACAGTTAGAATAACTTTCTAAAGTGTGCCTTTCACCGTGATTTGTTTTTCTCCATGGATTATTTACCCCTCTTCAGCGGTGCGGCTGTGTATTTGCTCGGCCGGAAAGTGAAAGTGAAACTTAAGTTCGGTCCGGCATCGTTTTCTTGCTACGTTCGTTATAATGTGTAAGTTAGTCTTTTCTGTTATTTTAGCGGTTTAACGCAGCAGTGTATGAGTAAGGGCTGGGCCATATGGAAAAAAGTAGTAAAATATTATTTAATCATTATTTTTATTATTATAAGTTTAAAGTTTAAAGGTTTTTCTCCTGAAGAAACTAGATGGTTAATTGTGCTTTTAAACTTTTCTTTATGTTCAAAACATGACAAACACTTGATGCCAAAAAGCAGCCTGGTATCAAACAGTGGATCACTTCACAGAGCTGAGGTAGAACATTCAAAACAAAACCCTTTTCCTCAACAAAATAAATATCTTAATAGAATAGAAAGTGCTCATTTCTTTGTGATTCAAATGAATTAAATCAAATATTTATTGAACATTTGTATTTTTATTGAGGAAGATTGTATCACAATAATTAACATTATTGTTTTAATGCCCCCCTAGTTCACGTTCACAAACGGACACGATTAGATCACCAAAAACATGAGCAAGATCAATAATCTTTATGGTTTGAGTGCGTTTGTGCACAACACTGAATGGACACGCTGTCCAGGCAACTGTCTGTGCTGTCAGACTTTTTGATATTATTTGCAGAGGACTGCGACCAGTACATATTTCCACCCAAGAAGTTGTTGTATGTGGATAGATAACACATTTGCATTCGTCTCTTTTCTATCAAAGAAATTGTTTCAAAATTTATATTTGTTGAAGTCTTAAAAGGTCTTAAAAAGCATTAAATTTAACTTTTAAAATGGTGCAAGAACCCTGTTACAGTGCTGTCTATTGCATTTGTATTGGATGATTCTGCAGCACATCATCTACGTCCAAACAAATGCCAACGTGGGAAATGGCAGTAATGTAGCGAGAGGTGATGGGTAGTTGTGTAGGGAGGATGTCTGCATTTCATTTAGGCCAATAATTAAAGCCACTATGTTTGAAATTAAAACGGTTTTCTCCCAAGTTTTGAGGAAGAAAAATGTCATAATAAGGTACAGTGAGATCATTTTGAGGAATAAAAGGAGAAGGAAAGTTCTTAATCTTGAGTGCACTCTGTACGCTAGTATGTGGGGCTGGGCGATATGGCCAAAATTTTTATCACAATAAAAATATTCATATCATAATAATGTAATAAATGTCAAATAATTATTTTTTTCATGTTTAAAGGCTGATTTTTGCTTTTGGTTTGAAACACTTGCCAAACAGTGGATCACTTAACAAATCTGAGAAAGAACATTCAAAACAATTAAGATAAAATCTTTTTTCAAAAAATATGCTTTAGTAAAATTAAGTAAAATCTTTTTTTAGTCCCTTTTCTTCTACAAAGAAATATCTTAATAGAAGTGGTAATTCGTTCTTGATTCCGACGCAGCCTGCTGCTATATGATGGAAAACATAAAAGCCAACTTGGACGAAGGGGGTACGGTCGGTGCCGTGTTTCTGGACTTGCGAAAAGCCTTTGACACGGTAAACCACAGTGTCCTCCTGACTAAGCTCTCTATGTATAATCTGTCCATGGAGACATTGCATTGGATACAATCATATCTCTCAAATCTGATGGAATGTATGTAATGTGTGAGGGTAAAAAATGTATTGTCCTCTCTGAAGCCCACCACAACTGGGGTATTTACATCAATGATCTTCCAGCTGTGTGCAACGGCGTAGACATCTTCATGTACGCGGATGATGTTGTCATCTACGTAAATGGGAGGAATATGGAGCAAGTAGCCACTAAATTGTCCTCAGCCATGGACAAAATAACTAATTGGCTTAAATCTTCTTGTATAACACTAAATACTGAAAAAACAGTTGGAATGTATTTTGTTAAGTCCAATAAAGTTAAAGATATGCCTAACATTTACTTTAATGGACAAAAAATTTACATCGTGACAGAGATAAAATATCTAGGTGTCCATTTAGACCAAACCTTAAGTTTTAAAAAACATATTAAAATAATGACCAACTCTATTAAATATAATATCTCTATCTTTAGACATATTAGGAATAGTTTGACAACTGAAGCATCCTTTATGTGTTTTAATGCTATGATCTCTTCACATATCACTTACTGTTTGTCCTGTTGGTCTCAGGCCAACGAGACTACACTTAAATTATTATTGAGGAAAATTATATTGCGATAATTATCATTATTGCCCAGCCCTAACTTTATGACTTTTCTGTTTTCTCTGAATTACAGGGCAGATGCTCTAGAGAAAACTGCAAGTATCTTCATCCACCTTCACACTTAAAGACCCAATTAGAGATAAATGGGCGCAACAATCTCATCCAGCAGAAGACAGCAGCAGCCGTGCTTGCCCAACAGATGCAGCTCATGATCCCCGGACCCAGTCTGCAGTCTATGGTAAGGTCTTCATAGTTATTAGGGAGGCAATTCTTTTTGTGTTATGGTGCTTGCTTCCCTTGTAATATATAACCTCTTCTCTCATGGCCAACATTTTCTGTTACACAGGGACTTGGCACAAATACTGGTCTTGGTTATGGCTCATACATGACTCCCATGACCCATGGAATGAGCCTCGTCCAAACAGACAACCTTCCCAACACCCAGGTTCTTGTTCCTGGGAGCCCACCTGTCACGATCCAGAGCTCCTCTTCTTCTTCTTCTTCTCCCTCACAGAAGCTGCAGCGTACAGACAAATTAGAGGTATTAATGCAACACCACGCATGCTTTAACATGAGAAATGTCATCACTACTTGTGTTTTTTGGCATAATCTGGCTACATGCTGAAAGCTGTATTCCTCTCACTGTCTTTATAATTGCTCCTCTCAGGTGTGCCGTGAGTTTCTGCGGGGAAACTGTGCGAGAGGGGAGACAGATTGCCGCTTTGCTCACCCCAGTGACAGTCCAATGATTGACACCACTGATAACACTGTCACTGTTTGCATGGACTACATAAAGAGCCGCTGCTCCAGGGAGAAGTGCAAGTATTTTCACCCGCCTGCACACTTGCAGGCCAAAATCAAATCCAGTCAACAGCAAGTCAATCACACAGCCGTGGCAGCCCAAGCCGCAGCTGCAGCCATGGTAAGACAGAGCCTTATCCTCTGGTGCACTTGTGTTTGCCTTGACATCACTGAATGTGGAGCACTATATATATTCGTATACTATCATTTGTGATGGGACATTTAACGTAGTGGCATAGTATATTACCTGTTACCTATATTATTAAAGCAGAATATCAGCAATTAGGTTAATTGTTAAACACATTTTCCAAGAGCAGGGGTTTTCAGTCTGACACCGTGACATTATTTTATCCTATATTTGTTTATGTTCTGGCAAATTAGGCACCATTAAAATTCAGTTCAATTCAATTCAATTTTGTTTATAAAGCGCAAGTAATCTCAGGGCACTTTTCATATAGAGCAGAGCGCCAGAGTCTAGACCGTACTCTTTGTGATATTATTTACCAGACCCAACAATTCCCACCATGAGCAAGCACTTTGCGACAGTGACTAAGAAAACTCCCTTTTAACAAGCAGAAACCTCGAACAGAACCTAGACTCAAAATGGGTGGCCGATTGCCTCAACCGGTTTGGGGGGCAAAGACACCAACAGTAGCTTACAGATTTAAAATAATAGTAATGGAAGTGGTCGTGGTAACGATATTTATATAAATAGTAATAATAATTATAGCAATAATAATAATAATAATAATAAGAAGACTAGCTAATAATTGTAGCAGCGGTTGTTGGGCTGTATGGAATAAGATTTGTGCCAATTTAGTCAAACGAAACTCTTAAAAATAACAGAAAATAAGAATTTGAGAGAGAATTAAACTGAAACAAAAAATAATAATCTCAAAAGTAAAACATATAACATAAAACATATAAGTACAACGATTGCTAGCTAAGAAATGTTAGCCTGTTGTGAGTGTTAGCTTTTGTTAAAAAAAGCACAGTAATTTGCCTTCTCTTTGTACAACAATGTAACATTGTGAGACCTGTAGACCCGTACAGACCTACGATGCAGTCTGCATGGCTTAGTTTAACTTCTAATTTAAGAGAACAAAATGGCTAGTAGGCTACAACTCAGACAGCATATGATCAATTCTTACTTTATCAATCTTGTAGCAATCCATTTTCAACAAATTTCCAGTGTTTGGGTGTCAAAACAGCTTGCTACACTGAACAACGCCTGGGTAACTGAGCTGTCACTCAAACACTCACTAGCCAATGGGGATGCACCATTGAAAAATTAAAAACCTGCCCACAAGAGACGTTTGTGTCAGAACTGAAAACAAAAAGTCAGGCAGCTTCAGTTAGTTTTATTCTCTCTCAAAATCTTATTTTTTGTTTGATGTTTAAGAGGTTTTGTTTGACTAAATTGGCACAAATCTGATTCCATAGAGCAGGAAGAGGTAGTTTGAAATCATAGATCCAGACTCTACAGCTATGGAGGGAAGAGGTCGAGTTAGTAACATGCATTATGGGATAGGAATGCATACAGATGGGGAGGGAGTGGAGGAGAGAGGAGCTCAGTGCATCATGGGAAGTCTCCCAGCAGTCCAAGCCTGTAGCACTATATTACAAAGGGATGGTTCATGGCTCACCTAAGCCAACCGTAACTATAGGAAAGTCTTAAGCCTGTGCTTAACTGTGAAGATGGTGTCTGGCTCCTTAACCCAAACTGGCCTTGATTTTCCCAGTATAAAAGCATGCTGAATTAGCTATTAACACCTGTTTTCTATGTGCCCGTTATCATTGGATTGCTTTGATATGGATAAAAAAACTTAAAAATGTGATGATTCTCAGGCAAGGTCTGAGGTTATAAGGAGCATCTTTTTTTCTACGATTCCTAAGTGGATATATATTAGCGTTTATTCACAATGGACATTGAAAATAATAATGTCTTGGGTTATGACTCTGAGAAGGAGTGCCATGTATGTTGTAAATTGCGGACAAAATCACCAGGCCAAAGTACAATAACTTACTTCCTGCTGTTTTTAGAACAGCTTGCACCTGTCACTTTCACCTCATGCAGTATATTTGCATCACATCTCTCCCTTATAAACAGTTGTATTCTGTGCTGTACAGTATGAATCACTGTAATGGTTAACTGCCAAAGTCCACTGACTCCGGCTGCGCCGCGGTTGCCAGAGCTAATCGCGGCCTTTCTAGTTAATGCTTGTGAGTCCACCAGACGCGGCTCTCCGCTCTGCAGAGAATAGGTAGGCGGGCTATTTTTGACAGAAGCCGCGTCAAGCAGCACAGAGCAGATCAAACCGGGCAGGAAGTCAGACACAGAACGGCTCCCGATTGTAAAACGACAATAAACACGATTAAAATAGACACAAAGAAATCACTTAACTACGTAGACTACTTAATCATAGTAGAAGCACAAAAGCAAGCACTGATTACCAAATCAACTAAATGTAAACATGTCAGCAAAATCAGGCAGGCAAAATGCTCTTATTCTGAAATGCAGATATGCAGCCTACAGACGACAGAACGTAACACAAATGTGAAGAAGGTCGTGGAAGCACAATAAGGACAAATTAATAACAAGTCAATAATGTTGGGCAGGCTACGCACTCCGCTGCTGAAAAGCTTCTGGGATAATTCCTGTGGACTTTGACGCCGGCCTGAGGACGGATCACAGTTGTAGCGCAGCCGTAATGCGCCGTAGTCGGAGTCAGTGGACTTGCGGAGTAAGACTTGTGATAACTGCCTGCGTGAATTAGTGCCCAAAAGAGCAAAGTGTTTTTTTTCTTCACAGTTTTCCCCTTCATAATTTCTGCTGTTTCTTTTGCCAATTATTGCATCTAAAAAACGTTTCTTGGTTTGGTTTCAGCTTTAACATTAACTTACTTCACTTAAGTTACTTTAAATGTAATGCATTTTCAGCCTCTCACTTGCTTCAGTAAAATGTGCTTCCTTGCCCTCCATAGACCATCTATGTACCCTGTCATGTACATCATCTTACTTACTTACTTACATTTACATTATAATTTTTTTGCATGACATTTAGGCAACAGCAATCATGTTTTGTTGTGTACAGTACGAGTACCAGTTGCCATTCCACCAAAACCCCTTATTGTGAATGTAGTAAATGGAGCTCCACATTCGGTGCTTTATGACATTGGATGGTTATTTCAGCTGTTTATTTGTGATGTTTCCTTTGGCTAGCTCTCACAAAACCAAGGCATCTTTAAACAATAAACATGTGCAGGGCTTGATTTGCATTGCATTGTTATTCTATAATGTGCATAGTTGCACTGATTGCATCATAGTAATGTTTTTATTACAATTAACTTTGATCAAGTTTTGTTACCATAGTGATCAATATAAAATTTAAATAGTATAACAAATTGTGCCGTATCATTGTAAATCTGTGTAAAGCTATTGATTAAGTGTACATGTTAACCTACTAATTAAAGAATCTTTAGTTAGTGTGTCCTTTAATCTGTTGTTTTGGTTACTGTGCATGCATATTGTGTTTTATGTGGTATACTACATTCAGATTATTTTGTTTTGTTTTCCCCTTCTCACCTATCCACAATGCTGTCCCCCATGATGCACCTCTGCTTGCTGTTACCTGTATGTTAATACGCTTGAATCCCATTGGCCCACTACCATCATGTGCTCGCTGCCTGCTATTAAAAGACTCAGTCGACTGCCAAAGCAATGAAGCGATCCCTCGAGGCAACTGTAGACCTGGTATTTTCACCTTTTGCTTTGGTTGTAGCTATTAATTGTACTTTAATAACTTTTAATTTTCTCATATAGTCTTTGTGTACACAGTGCTTAATTTGAGAGATATTTAAACATATTTTGGTTGTTACATTATTCCATTCCTATTTGTATCCTAAAACCATGCTTGATTTTTCCACTATGTGATAACTGTCACCTTTATTGTGTAGTCGTGTTTGCTGTTTTTTCACCTTTTTCTTTTTTTTTAAACAATGTATACTAAAAATTAAGTGTGTAAATTGTAGTTGAACAGAGAGACAGGAAATTTGGGAAATTTTGGTGTGTCATGTCTCCTCTTGTTACTTTTCAGGGCTTTCCCCACAGTCTCCTACAACCCCTACCAAAGAGACCAGCTTATGAGAAGAGCAGCTGGGCCAACTCTCTCCTCAGCCCCAGTTTTTTGCACTACCATCAGGCTCTGGCCAACTCACAGCTGCAGCAGCCCACTGCGGCATTTTATCCTGCAGGTGAGCATCTAAACTTGGATTGAAAGCTAAATAGGCACTTCATACACTTTTCCATTTGATGTCATGTCTGTCTTAATTTTTTTTTCTGGGGGTGGATACTGCTCAAAAAATATCAAACACACTTAATGTCGTCCCTTCACTTCAGAACTTGGCAGAGGTTTTTCATGTTCTTACTACATAGCAGTGTTGGCCATATTGATACAGTCTCTCTTTCCATTTGATAATCACACAGGTTCTGTCTTGTGCATGACTCCGGCTAACAGCATCGGTAGGTCCCTTCCTTGTTTTGTATAAACTATGTCTCATAATCAATGGAGAACACAGGTGAAACTTTCATATTAATCTGGTTTACTTGTAATTTTAGCATAGGAAAGCATCATTCAGGAAACCTTAGTAAAAAACACATAATTAAAAATTATCAGAGCTGAGTTTTTTTTTCTGTAAATATTTTTGTTAGTGTGTCTGTTATATGTACACTTATCTAACATAATATATTGATAATCATTTTTTAAAACATATAAAGACAATATAAAATTTTAAGCATTTTGTTTGTAGAATTGCACCATGGCTCAGCATCCCCGATATTCACTTCAGTGATTTTTCATAATTTCTCTTAAATGTTATTAATATTACTCCTCAGGTATCTTATTAAACCACTTTGATCATGTCTGGTGGCATTAGTGTACATGAACTTTCTTTTTGGATATCAAATTATGGACAGATTTCCTAATTTTATCTCTTTATCAACCCTCCTTTTATGTTCTCCCCTGCTGTCTCGCTTTGCTGTGTGATCACATGCCATCTGCTGGTCTAACCCAATGATGGCTTGCTGCTAATGTCATTTTGTATTTGCCTGGCAAGAGAGAGAAAAGCATTGCTATGGTTACCATAATGCTCCACCTCCCTTTTCATTGCTTTCATGGTTCCCTTCCTGAAAAAGTCCCCATGATGTACAGTGCTACGCCTGCTACTGTCTCTGCAGCAACTACTCCCGCCACAAGTGTCCCCTACGCAGCAACAGCACCAGCCAATCAGGTTTGCTCCTTTTTAAAGCTTTCTTTCATAAATCCTTGAGCTCTGGATGAGTGCTTCATCTTTAAATCAGGGAGTTGCTTCATCAGCATAGCATTGTCCTGCTTGCATTGCCTTTAATTCAGCTTCATCTACCTGTAGACCTTCAGTAGAACTAGGCTGCATCTCACCCCTTTCCCTCATGACAGACATCCTTTCTGTCTTCCACCTGCAAACAGTATATATGCATATATTCTTTGTTGCATGTTTTTTGCTTTGTTCGATGTCAGTGTCTCATTACTGAATATGTATTTCAATTTCAAAATGTTCTTTGAAGTGAGGAGCAAATACTTAAAACACAATTGTATCTTAGGTACTTGTCATATTGGTTATATTAATTAGTTTATATTTGCATTCATTGTGTTATTATCATCTGGGAAAATACGCTATCCTGATCAGGGTTTTGATATATTTCAGGAGTGTGTGTGCGTATGTGCTACATTTGAGATTTGTATCATTTATATTTTGATAATCTCAGTTGCCCTTATTAAAACATGTGATGCTTTTGATTGGTGGGATTGTAGAGAAGTCAATGTAAAATATTTGGTCATCCAAACAATCTTCTTTACTATGTTCATTTTCTTCCTTTCTTAGATCAAACAATTACTCTACACTGTAAGTGTAGTGTCATGCACTTAAACAAAACTTTATATTTAAAGTCTGCCTACCCACTGTTGGGTCCATCTTTACACTTAACATGTTGTTCAGCTGAGCGTTACGCATCATTTTACTTTATATTGCAGTGTTGTTATACAATACTGTTTATATTAGGTAGAATTTTGGGAAACTGTAAAAAACGATGCATAATACACTTGAATTTGATGTACCAACCTTGAAAACCATGTCATAAATTGTGAAAAGGGTTTTGGCGAGTGGGTTTAAGTTAAACACCTAAGGGGAGTTTAAGGGGTTTGTTTCATTTCATTTTATATCCATCATAATGATTGTTCTTGATGAGCACATGATGATCTCTGACATGTAACAAAAAATACATTTGGACCAAGTATATTTCCATTGCATGCAACCAATAAGAGACTGTCTTTTGTCCCTGAAACAGATCATCCTCAAGTAACCACCAGAAACAGACGTCAGTGCCGTGTTGCTGCTGTTAAAGACCCCAAACATCTGCTCTGTAAATACTCTGTTAACTCCACACACAACTTACAACAGACTGCATGCTGATAACATCACTGATGAAAAAGTTGTACACATCACTTTGATCCCCCATAATAAGCTCAATTACTAGGATTATACTGTGTTTGATACGTGTCACAGAAGATTATTGTATGTACGCGCCTTTGCACCTGCATTAACATGCATCCTCAGTAACGTGCAAATAACATGCTGGTTCCTGTTTCCTAAACCAGTTCTTATAAGATCAGAGGTGCATTTAGCCTCTTAAAGAGCTGAAAAGCAATGTGTCTCCAGTTCACAACTTCGACACGAATTCAACCAGTAAACACATGGAAATCAAACAAAATAGGCAATGCAGATATGAGTCTGTTTTTCACTGGCAATTTAGATTTTTGTAAATATTATAAGAGAAAGAGATGAGGATGCCAGATCTCATCTGAAGTCAGTTTCCTATATTGGAGACTGTTAAAATTATATCATCATAATATTGAGCATAAAATACTTTTTTTCTTTCTTGAATATGTTATGTAAACTAAGAGAAAACCTTTTCATGTTAACAATTGTCTACCTAGTGCCAGATTTAATTGTTTTAAACAATCTAGTAAAACACACTTATATTAACTTTAAACTCCACATTGTAAAAATTATGGAAGTTCCTTTAAAATGTTCTGAGGGTAGTCCATCTGTATTGTTTACCCTATCATTCCTAGAGAATAGGATCAGTGCTCCACCTCCTGGTGTGCCTTTGCATTGCATATACAGTATGTTTGCTGAGAGAAAATACTGTAGAACACAATTGCTGCAAAGACTTTTTTCTTCAAGGCAGTAACGCAACAATGATTCAAACTGTTAAAATATCCCCTCTTCATTATAAAAAAAATCGATTGGACTACCGGTCACGGTGATGGTTGACGGGCTAGTTTCCCAAAGATGGTCAGATGGTTATTCACTATCTTAAGTAGGACTAATGACTGGGTAAGTAACCACATTAAACCGCTCAGCAGAAAATGTTACAACATTTTACTGGGAACATTCAGGGAAGAGTGTAACAAAACAAGATGTGGCTTGTTAATGTGGCAGGGCTCCGTACTTCTGCTCAACAGGTTACTTTGGTTTCTAAAAACTTGTTCCCTGCTGATGACTCGCTCCGCAATATTACAATATTAACAACAATACAAACCAGTCTAACATATCTTTGTGAAAATGGCCCCTGGTTCCACTTTAAGATAACCAGATAACCATGTTTTTAAGAAGAGCCTCCACAGCCATGAAGGTTAAAGTTCAAACTGTGTGGAATTACTACTGCACATATTCAAACTAAAGTAATCCTGTAAGGGTTGAGTTGAGTAGTGTGTGAAATGGTAGTCTTAATGTTACAGTCAGTTGTCAGTACTGTACTATTTGAATGTTACAAGTGCCTAAAGAATTGTGCAGATGAGGATATCCACGCAAATTTAAAAAGGCTTTGTGCAAAAAATCACTCAGTTAAATCTACTCAAGTGACTGACATGTGGAAAGAAATGATTTGCAATGCTATGCCAGTGCTTTAGTATGTTGTGTGCACCTGTTTAGATTTAGCCTTACAATTAATTTTCACTGATGCTAAAATGTGTTTGTAGGCCTACATAATGTATAATTTCTTTCTCTCTTAAGATGATTACGTAGTGTATGACAGTGTTTCCTAATTAGTTGTATGCACAGTTAAAATACCTTTATGTAGTAAAGTACAATTTAAGGAGATAGGCTTTTGGGTGATGTTTAAATGTGTATGGTTGATACCACATTATGAAATTACCCATCTTTGTTTGGATCTTACAGCAGACAGAGTGGGTATTGTGTCTGGTTCAGTGAGTTACAAAACTGATGTTAAAAACAGTTTTCACTCATGTGTGTTATGTTCCCTTAAACATCTTTTCCCCTGCATTTTAGTTCCCTGTTTTGCAAACAGTAAGTGCAAATATCAGCCTTTCCTTTATTGTTTCCCATGTCTTTTCAAGTGACTGCTGTAAGGTTTATAATGAAAACTTCTATCTACAATTTTTTTTTGATTTTCCAAGAGAAATTGCATTTGTTCCCATTATTGAATATGTTCACGTTATTTCTATTATAGGTTTTACACATTATTGGATGGAATATAAGGAGTTTAATTGCATATTTTACTAGTTTAAGATTAGAAAAGAACACCTTTAAAAATGTATTCTCTTATACTTTATGATGAATGTAATTTATTAAACTGGCTTTAGCTCTGCAGGAGGTTCCTCAAAGGGCCTTGATCTGTTTTATTAGCCTATGAAAAGCCTGTCTTGTGTCCAGGGATCGAATGTTGGAGCAAAGAGAAGCTTAAAACATTTCATCCTTGTCACTGCCTTGTCACCTGTAACAAGCGTTTGAATAAGCAAGGAAATAGGATTGCTTTTTACGTACAAAAGTACATTGTACAGGCCACATTTTATGGAAAAAATACGTTTCAGAATAGTGTAATAATAGTTTGTCATTGTTTTAATGTGTTTTGCTGAGGCAATCCGAATTTGCAGTGATTAAAAACTTTATTTTTGTAGGTGATGGATTTGTTTTCCCCACTCACAATAACACATTAGATTGTGCTGTCAGATATTTCACTTTATTATGCCATGGTAAAACACTGTAAGTGATCCAGTGCATAGGGATATATTTTGAAATGTGAATTTTGTGTTTTATATGGTTTCCACTGCATGTTGACATCCTGCAGCGAAAATGTAATCCTCCCTCAGCAAATCTAGCCTCGGTCGGGAGTTGATGGTTCAGTGGTTGTTTAAACCTTAATTTTTATTTTCAGAATACAAACACTTTCAAATTTTAGGTTGTTATAAGATGTATATATATATATATATACACACACACACACACACACACACACACAGGTGCTGGTCATATAATTAGAATATCATCAAAAAGTTGATTTATTTCAGTAATTCCATTCAAAAAAGTGAAAAGTGAAACTTGTATAATGTATACAGTCATTCCACACAGACTGACATATTTCAAGTGTTCATTCCTTTTAATTTTGATGATTATAACTGACAACTAATGAAAACCTCAAAATCAGTATCTTAGAAAATTAGAATATTGTGAAAAGGACACCTGGTGCCACACTGTAATCAGCTAATTAACTCAAAACACCTGCAAAGGCCTTTAAATGGTCTCTCAGTCTAGTTCTGTAGGCTACACAATCATGGGGAAGACTGGTGACTTGACAGCTGTCCAAAAGATGACCATCTTGCACAAGGAGGGCAAGACACAAAAGGTCATTGCTAAAGAGGCTGGCTGTTCACAGTCCAAGCACATTAATAGAGAGGCGAAGGGAAGGAAAAGATGTGGTAGAAAAAAGTGTACAAGCAATAGGGATAACCGCAGCCTGGAGAGGATTGTGAAACAAATCCCATTCAAAAATGTGGAAGAGATTCACAAAGAGTGGACTGCAACTGGAGTCAGTGCTTCAAGAACCACCACACACAGACGTATGCAAGACATGGGTTTCAGCTGTCGCATTCCTTGTGTCAAGCCACTCTTGAACAAGACACAGCGTCAGAAGCGTCTCGCCTGGGCTAAAGACAAAAAGGACTGGACTGCTGCTGAGTGGTCCAAAATGTTCTCTGATGAAAGTACATTTTGCATTTCCTTTGGAAATCAAGGTCCCAGAGTCTGGAGGAAGAGAGGAGAGGCACAGAATCCACGTTGCTTGAAGTCCAGTGTAAAGTTTCCACAGTCAGTGTTGTTTTTTGCCATGTCATCTGCTGGTGTTGGTCCACTGTGTTTTCTGAGGTCCAAGGTCAACACAGCCATCTACCAGGAAGTTTTAGAGCACTTCATGCTTCCTGCTGCTGACCAACTTTATGGAGATGCAGATTTCATTTTCCAACAGGACTTGGCACCTGCACACAGTGCCAAAGCTACCAGTACCTGGTTTAAGGACCACGGTATCCCTGTTCTTAAATGGCCAGCAAACTCGCCTGACCTTAACCCTATAGAAAATCTATGGGGTATTGCGAAGAGGAAGATGCGATATGCCAGACCCAACAATGCAGAAGAGCTGAAGGCCACTATCAGAGCAACCTGGGCTCTCATAACACCTGAGCAGTGCCACAGACTGATCGACTCCATGCCACGCCGCATTGCTGCAGTGATTCAGGCAAAAGGAGCCCCAACTAAGTATTGAGTGCTGTACATGCTCATACTTTTCATGTTCATATTTTTCAGTTAGCCAACATTTCTAAAAATCCTTTTGTATTGGTCTTAAGTAATATTCTAATTTTCGGAGATACTGAATATGAGATTTTCATTAGTTGTCAGTTTTAATCATCACAATTAAATGAAATAAACATTTGACATTTGAAATATATCAGTCTGTGTGGAATGAATGTATACATTATACAAGTTTAACTTTTTGAATGGAATTACTGAAATAAATAAACTTTTTGATGATATTCTAATTATAAGACCAGAACCTGTATATGATACATTTTCCCTTATTTATTATATGAGCAAATAAAAGGCATATAACCGAATGTTTGATTCACCTTTTGTTAAAAAGCTTGAATGACATGGACACACCTGCACATGGAGGTTGTTTGAGATTGTGATCGCCCAGTCAAAAAGATATGGACAGTAAGAATGTTTGGTCAGACTGACTGATGCAACATTTCACTGAAGCACTTTCTCACTAGTCAGATGACTGAGAAGACATGCTTTTTGTGAACTTTGCCTTATCTTTGATCTATTCCTAAGTTTGTATTTGTTCAGAAATTATGAATTCCATATTGTCTAATAAATAAAAAAACTGCATTTCACTGAACTTTTCTTTGAAATTATTGCTGCATGATTTTTCAGTTTGAAGCCAAAATGACAGTTTGTAAAATAAGCCCAAACATACCGCTGAGGTCAAGGCTTGATGTTGATAGGGCTAGGCTAGCTTGCAAAGTATGCCGGTGCCGTTTGTTTCCATCCTGGCCTGAATATAAACTTTCCCTCTTTTTTTTTTTTTTAAACTTATTTGTGAAAATGATTTAATTTGTGCATAATTGAATATTTCTTGTAGATAGTTTTGTTCCTGTAAATTCAAAATTGTGAGAAAATCTAATATTGCAAATAAATAAATGTCAAGTAAATGCCATGCTGGGAGTTCTGTTGTTTTTTTGCACTTTATTTAATTCTACAGTAAGACCCTAATATTATGTTTGTGATTCTGTTTGACATCAGGCTCAAAACTCAACCTGAATCAGTCAATTCACAAATAAAATAATCTCCCTTTGGAGATTATTTTATTTGTAGAGAACGCTGGATTGGTCATGTACCCTAAAAAGGCAAATCAGACAAGAAGATCATGTTTTCTTTTAAGAAATAAAACAAATAATAAATGATTTCTTTCAGGTATGTGTCTGGAAGATTTATTGATTGTGTGTAGGGCAGAATTAGGGCCTTGCAATTGAAAAAGGGATATAAAAAGTCCTCGATACCAAAAGAATATAGTGTATGTGAGCATTGTTGAACAGTTGAGGTGGAGACAGAGACACATTTTCTCCTGAAATGTGATAAATATAGAAGAATAAGAGAGCAGTATTTTTGAGAAATTCCATCTTTTAATACCAGATTTCAAAGAACATGAAGATAACAATAAATTAAGAATAATCCTAGGAGAAGGACATGTGTGTGTCCCTGTGTCACAACCTAAGGGACAGCGAGTGACTCAGCCAACTTAATGTTCACTGCATGGCAGGTTATACCTTGTTCACTTTTATTTGTAGTTTATCTGTATTTGTTATCTTTGTTTTTGTAATTTATACCTGCTAAATTGAGTGGTCTTGGATTAATATTGTTATGTCATATTCAAATGTAAACTTTTTATTTTTATTTTGCAGACTGCTTTGGCAACATTGTTTAAATGAAACATTCACGCCAACAAAGCACACTGAACTGAACTGAACTGCACTCACTGTCTCCTGAAATTGAACTGAATGATTTTCCACATGGCAAATAATAAATAATTATAGTGTCTTGGTTTTGCATCCTGCACTGGTAGAGATCTATATGTATATATATATATATATATACACACACACACACATAGATATTGCTTACTGTATATATAGCCAACTTTTGAACAACATTGTCAAATTTGGACAGCTTCTACAAAATGCAGCGTTACCATGGCAACAGCATCCGGCGCATTTTCCTCCTCTTGGATACGCTTCCCCAAGCTGCCGCTGTGATTGGACGAGCTCCCTTTGGGTGTCACTGGGGCAACCGAATGATGGGAATTTTAACACATGAACGGAAACGCAGCCGCTGAATGTGACTGGTTGCCTCCGTCCGGCTCCCATTCAGACACTAGTGAGGTATGCAGGGAGCGGAGGAGCCCGTTGGACTGTTCGCACATCCGTCTGACAGGAGGGAGGGTCCGCACGCTTTTTCCCCTTTTTTTTGCCTCGGTACGGGAGCCGAGCGGGGACCAGCTGGTTACGCTGCGGCCGTGGGTCTCCACCCGAGAGTATGGCGGCTGGGATTGCGCTGGAGAGCCAGGGAGAGACGGAGACATGCCAGAGATGGTGAAAAAGAAACAAAGAGGCGCAAGTTCTTTAATGAAGTGTCGCGACAGTTTTAGTTGGCGCTGCTTTCCTGAAGGGGGCTCCTGCTTGACTAATCGCGCCTGCAGTTCATTCTAGGGACTACTAAGCGTTTTTCCAGTGTCCTCGATGGAGCAAGTTTGTTTTTTTGTGATGCATAGGCTACAGAGGGGTGAGCTAAGCAGATGAAAACCCGCACGGTGCACATCATCGGGCGATATTTGCTTCTTCCCCGTGCACATTTTGTGGACAATTTCATTCCTCGGATGCCCGTATAGCTGTCAGTGTCTGGCCTGCATGGGGGAATTTCTACAATGAAATCCATCTTGGGGCACCGACTCTTTGTGCTCTGCCGTAGCTGAGCAGCGGCGAGCAGGACTGTTTTATTGACAACCCGTTCAAAATGGGACACGAATGGTGATTGTGATTCGTGCGGGAATATTTTGAGTTCGTTTCAATGACGCGCGGAGACTGATACCCGAAACTGACTTGATTTAATCCACGATGCGCGAGTATAAAGTGGTGGTCCTGGGCAGCGGTGGGGTCGGGAAATCCGCCCTCACTGTGCAGTTTGTTACCGGGACGTTCATTGAAAAGTACGATCCCACTATAGAGGATTTTTACCGCAAGGAGATCGAGGTGGACTCCTCGCCCTCGGTGTTGGAGATCCTTGACACCGCTGGTACCGAGCAGTTCGCCTCCATGCGGGACCTTTACATCAAAAACGGGCAAGGATTCATACTGGTCTACAGCCTTGTCAACCAGCAAAGCTTCCAGGACATAAAGCCGATGAGGGACCAGATCATAAGAGTGAAAAGGTTGGTGAACTGATGAGCAGGAATATAATAATGTCCAGATTGTCAAGTGTGGATGTTGGAGATTATTCTTCACACATAGGGCTGGCCTCACAGGCTCTGTAGTTTCAGGATTGGCCTTGGCCTGGTCTGAGAACTGCTTGAATGGAGATGCTCTTCAGACAACAGAACAACACAACATGCCTGTTGTATTTCGGTGTACCAGGTCTCACCCACAATGCTTGTAGGTAGGCAAATGCCCTTGCACTGCAGTCCCTTCATCTCTTAAAGTATTCATTTGTGATCTCTAACAGTAGCATCAGTGTTTCTGTAGACTTTGTAATGTGTCACTCCTGACTGTTACAGCTTAGGAATGACAGTAACTAACAGGGCAACAGTGCTGATCCATCCTGTCCATCAGCACTGTGAAATCGTGCGGTCATAACATGGTAGATACTGTCTGTGATCTGCCAAGCTGCTGTTTTGTAGCGCTGAATGTCCGCTGTGCCAGATGCTGCAACCCCTGTGAAACACCCAACCGGGGATACCCAGGATCCAGCGCAACAGAGGCTCTGCAGAGAGCTTCAAGGAAGCACAGATACCCAAATACTGTAGGGGTTGGGGAAAGCACACTAGCATCTGCAGTGGAGAAGCCATGTTTTTAATTAACGGGCTGCACAAGCTCTTTAGGAAGAGCAGCACAATTGAAAGCGTGAAAGCGTCTGATGTCTGAGCGCTGTTACACAGATGATCCAGATATGAGGTCACCGGAGTGAGCTGCTGATTAATACATGCAAGAGGTTAGCTGAGGCTAGGCCAATGTGCTGTGAAACAGCACTGTACATTCACCTGGTGACATGGCATGATGTTATAAAAACCCAGTGAGAGCCAAAATAGACAATGTCATAGGTGCTGCTGGTTAAATCATCGGTGATCATTGCCTGTGCGTTTGCTACATTCCTGTGTTACGGTGTGCAAGCAGCGTGTACTGGGCTGTGACTGTGTGGGTCCATCAGTCATTGTAGGTGTCAGTGGATGTGTTGCAGTCAATGTTGCGAGTCCAATAGCCTCCCGGCATTTTGAAAGAAGTGCAGCTTAAAGCTCACATTGTTTACTGATACAGCTAATTACTTGAGATAATGCTCAGCATTGGACAGGACAGTGCAATCAAATCACGCTTTAGTGTTGTGTTTCTAGCTTGGTTGTGACAGCATTGCCTATTTCTATTAAACTCTGCAATATTATTTAATCATCTTGAAGATGTTTAGTTCTGTTAGGTGACTTTAGTCTTTGTCAACTAATTGGATTTAGGCATTTTTTCAATTGCACCTTGTAAAAAATCCTATAAATCTGTGACACAGGATGAAAGAATGAGGTCAGCATGTTTCCCCCATGTGAGTGGAGAATGGGGAGAGGTATGTTCAGTCTGCAGTGTCTGTGTGTTAATATGTGTGTGCGCTTGTGTTTGTATGTAAACGTATACATGTGTGCTCACACAGCAGATGCAGCCACACTGTTGTGTGATTTCACACTTAACACTGTGTCTGGTGCCATTCTCTAATGTCACAGCAGAATTTATTTTCTGTAGTAAAATCCATTGCGCTCCACATGCCACTCCTAGACAATAGTTAATTTTAGTCCTATTTGAGTCCTATGCTTCATGTGGGCTTAGACAGTCAAAGCTTTAGATTGCATTTGAACAGTGGAGTTAAAAATATAAAATCATGGGTAGTCTTTAATTCACTTGTGACTCCTTTTACAGAGTTTGTCCTGAATGGAAGTAAGCATTTGTTCTTTGGTTATTCAGATAATTCCTCTTCATGTGTTTAGTTATAAATAGTTATGAAGGACAGACAAATTTAAGAATATCTCAAGTCTTGAGGTTTAGAGACCTCAGCGTCTTCCTTCTACCATCCCCACAGTTGACCTTAGTTGCTATCAGCCCGGAAACACAAAACATTTAATCGGAAGATTATATGTTAAGATCAGAAAAGGTTTGTTTTACTCAACTTGGTGTTATAGATGATGTCTAAACAAATTAAAGTTGTTTGTATGCAGCCTCTTCAAACCTACACACAGACTGTTAATAAAAGCTTCTATTGACAGCAGTTATATAAGGTGACTGTGTATGGTATACTCAACATTACAATATCACAAACAAAAACTGGTGTCCAAATCCTTTTTTCATTCGAGATGAGGAAATGGAGTGACCAATATATACTTGGCACATACTGTGTGGCAACCAAGCTCCCACTGCGTACCCATCAAAGATGAATACAGGAACAACGTACTTTGTGTTTGAATTTCTAAACATACTAAACATCCATAACCACGAGTCGGTCTTGTTGCTGAAGGTAAGGATGGTAACAAATAAATCACAAATGATCTTGTGATTATATTTAGCCAATTAAAAGTCAACTCTTAACCTAGCGTAAAACACATTGTTAAACATGCCTGTATCCTGTTCTGTTTAGATACTAGCCCAGTTGTATCTGCAGCACCAGTAGTGTAGTGACTGTATTGAAGATGGCATTGAATGTTTTTTTCTTTGTCTCTTCAGTCTTGTTTATTTATCATTTGATCAGATCCTGGCTGATTGTTTGCAGAATTTTGGTAATAATGGACTGCATTTTAAAGACTAAGTTGTATGGTTATTTGGGTAAGTCAGCATTGAAGTTTTGTTGTTATTAAATGCAAAAAAAGGTTCCTGTATAAATACTAGTTAATGAGCTGAAATACATTTACTTACATATATGCCTCAACATGCAGACATTTTGACTGATCCTCAACTCCGATAACCAACCAAATATAGAAAACTTAATTCCACGTCTCCCACTTTGCAACAGTTTTTAACAATTACAGCATAAGAATCTATAACAGAATGGGAAAAGATGACATTTTTTTCTACAGATGATAGCTCATAACCCAATCCGGTATCAAGGCATTTTGTTTTTTCGGTAACAAGTGAATAGCTTGCTTTGTTCTGATCTGCAGTGCTATTTCTCTCTTAAACCCCACAGCTGAAATGCAACAAGTTCAGGCATGTAGGAAATGTGTGAAAGCAGTAGAAGAAGACAAGACAGGTTGAGACATCAAAAAGAACGGGGACGACAAAACATTTGACAACATCACAGACTGATGACAGAAAGTCATGACATTAAAAAAAAAGTGGTTGAGCGCCAATTAGTTGATTAATCAATTAGTTGATTGACAGATATATAATCTGCAACTATTTTGAAAATCTATAGCAGTCAGACTGTTCCTGCACATTATACTGCTTCTCTTGCCCGTCTGTCCCTCCTCGCTGCCAAAACACTGGCGACCCGTTGTAACCATATTGGCATTCGCTCAGGTCAGGCGCTACTGTGCGTCGCTCTCACTCTGAACCCATCATCCCATCAACTATCTGCTGTTAGTGGCTCAGATGGGGCTTTAGCACAGAGGCCATGGGTGCACATGATTACACCCTGGCCTGCCTGCCTCCACTGGGGACCTCATCACTCCTCACTTCAGTTGCAGTTAACTACACACCAGGGATATACTGGTGACTTAACAGAGCACTAAATAGTGGTGATATGGTCAGAAGATAGTGAAGAAGAGGTTAAATAGGGTACCATAATAAAGTGTGCTGCTGTGCATGTGTACATACTCCTTTCAGCAATGTACCAAGGCTTACAAACTGTGGGGTTATCATCAAGGCTTGTTCATGTGCCAACTGGTAAAAAGGATCAAGATCAATAAATGGAGGAGCAGCAGTCTACCAGTACTCCCAGAAAGATCCTCTTTCATCTGTGTCTTTGTCTGTTGTGAAAACTGGGCAAAACAACTGAGCTAAAGTTCAGTGATGATTATGGTTTGGGTCGTACGCAGTGGTGGGTTGTAGTGTAGCCGCCCTGTTCAAATATCCAACAAGTTGTTTCTGATGGCAGTCACTACTTCAGAGAGGGCGGGACTAGTTAGAGCAAATGCTAATTGCAGGGGTGTAATTAGTGAGAGAAATGCACGTTAATTTAATTTACAAACAGGCAACATTTTTAGCCAGCCTAGCTGCGTGGCTTTAGGATTGGCAATGTCGTCGGTCCAACTCTTTGGTCCAGACTGAAATATCAACAATTATTGCATGAAAGATTTTCTGGCCATTGTGCTTTAAATGTTAAATGTGCTAATGACTTTGGTGAACCCCTGAACTTTTCTCTAGCACCACCAGGAGGTTGACATTTGTGGTTTTAGGTAAAATTTCTTCAACTATTGACTGGATTTCAATGAAATTTGGACATTCATGTAGGTACCCTTAAGGCTAAACTGTAAAAATAAATAAATAAAAATCTTTTTCAGTGTCATTTTCAGGTCAAATGTGTCTGATGATGAACCTGGCAAACATTGTACAGTACCTCCTAAATATCAGCACGTTCGCATTGTCATTGTGACCAAGTTGCCATGCTAGAGTTAGCATGGCATGGCATGACGTTAGCGATGTGTCTAACCCTCACTTAACACAGTAGCAACACGTCCACAGACAGCAGTTGGACAGCACTTTGTGTTGGAAAATTTATATGAGACACAAGTACACAGAAGTGCTAATAAACAGTATAAACTACAGCTTTCACTAACTGTTGATACGCAGAGCAGCCATCTTGGATCACAAAGTCGGGGTAATGCAGTTCTTCCGACTTAAAGGGGCGGACCCTTTGAAAAGTCAGACTTTGAACTCGGAAATTCAGACTTCCATTGTCAAATGTCAATGTTCCCAGGGTTCCATGCTCAATATCCTCGTAAAATGGCACATTAAGGGGACCTTTCAAAGAGTTTTATGTCCTCAACAATGTTTTTTCCCCAGGTCAAATGTTCAATGTATGTTTCCCTGGTTTTAAATATAGATATCACCCACCTACAAGCTAATAAAGCTTACTGATGTTATTCTTCTTGAAATGTATGTCCTCAAATTTGAGGACTTCAAATTTAGCCATACCAATCTCTTACAATGTTTATTTATATCAAGAAACGCATATGCACATCGGACCCTG